AAAAAAAAAAAAAAAAAAAAAAAAAAAGAAAGAAAAAAAGAAAAGAACAAACTTCTGCTTCATACACATGGTTGAAGCTTAAAGACATGAGGGTGAATGAAAGACGCCAAACACAAAGGCAGACATAATTTATGATTCTAATTACAGGAAATTCAAAAACAGGCAAGCTGATAGATAGCAAATGATCACGGTCAGAGTGAGCACCCTGGGGGTACTGACCAGGAAAGGGTGTGAGGAAGCCTGCAGGTGGTAAGAAAGAATCTGGTTTGGTGGTTACAGGGTCTATACATACGCAAAAATTCATCAAGCTGTACACTTAAAATTTGAGCACTTTTCTCTATATACACTTACATTTTAACGAGCAAGAAAATATTTAAAAGCTAAAAAGCAAAAAGCCAGCATACAGTCCCATTAAGATACACACTGCACCAGGGCAGGTGAATCATTTGAGGCCAGGACTTTCAACCAGCCTGGGCAACACAGTGAAATCCCCATCTCTTCAAAAAATAAAAAAAGTTAGCCGGGCGTAGTGGTGTGCACCTATAGTCCCAGCTACTCAGGAGGCTGAGTTGAAAGGATCACATGAGCCCAGGAGGTTGAGGCTGCAGTGAGCCATGATTGCACCACTGCACTCCAGCTTGGATATCAGAGCCAGACTCTGTCTAAAAAATAAAAATAAAAAGATGCAGACTGCTGAGGGTGAGGAGTGGGTGCCCAGGACACTACCAGAGCTCAGGTCCTAAGAAGGGAGCTGGGAGGCAAGGCTGTCCTTACTCTGGAGCAGTAAAGGCAGGAATCCTGCCTGATCCTAACTAATTCATCCAGACCTTAGCCCTACTTCAGGCAACCACTAAGTCTAACCTGGTCCTAAATCCCACCGCTCCTAGCATCCCTAAAACTGGAACCCCAGCCTCCTCTGGCCTCCTTCCCTCCAGCCAAGCTCCACATTGCCTAAGGGCAATCCTTTCCTGACTCCTCTCTACCTCCTAGAGAAACATCCAGGCTACTGGGCCTGGCCTCCAGGGGCTGGCCCACTACCCTCCACTGCTCTTCTCTTGCAGCTAACGCACACTGCTCTTCAACCACGTTGAGCATCATCCCCTGCTTGGGGGTTCTGCCTGACAGACAGCAGACTGTGTAGGTTCTAAACTCCCCACCTAGCTGGACATCCCTCTCCCACTCACAGATCAAGGCAGCCTCGGATCCCACTGCCAGCCCAGAAAGTCCACACTCATCCTTAGCCTCTGCTATGGGCCAAGTTGCATCTCCCAAAATTCATACACTGAAGTCCTAACTCCTGGTCCCTCAGAATGTAATTGTATTTTGGAGATAGGGTCTTTAAATACTTAATTAAGATAAAGTAAGGTAATCAGGGTGGACCCTACTGCAATCTGACTGATATCCTTATAAGAAGTGGAATTAGGTCACAGATGGGAACAGGGGGAAGACCATATGAAAACCCAGGAGAAGACCAGCTAACCACAAGCCAAGGAGAGAGGCCTTGGAAAAGGCCAACCCTGCTGGCATCCTCATCTCCAACTTCCAGCCTCGATAATTGTGAGAATGGATTTCTCTTATTTCAGCTACCTAGTCTGTGGTACTTCTCTGTGGAAGCCCTAGCAAACTAAGAGAGCATCTCAAAGCCCCCACCCTCCTGCTGTCCCATCCCTGAGCCCCTGGCTGTGCCCAAGTTCCTTCCCCACAAGACCAAGGGGACAGGCCTGGTCTGACTAATCACTAGGTTCCTAGCATCACTAGACCAGAATGGATTGTAACTGCTGAATGTCCCTCTCTGCAGCAGTCTCTGTCTCCTACTACTTCCCACCCCTGTCCTACTGTCTCTCTGCTATTTATTTTATTATATTTATATTTTGGGACAGAGTCTTGCTCTGTTGGCCAGGCTGGAGTACAGTGGCACAATCATGGCTCACTGCAGCGTCGACCTCCTGGGGTCAAGCTATCCTCCTGCTCCAGCCTCCTGAGTAGCTGGGACTACAAGTGTGCACCACCATATCCAGCTAATCAAAAAAAAAATTTTTTTTGTAGAGATGGGGTCTCCTTAGGTTGTTCAGGCTGGTCTCAAACTTCTGGGATTAAATGATTCTCCTGCCTTGGCCTCTGGGATTACAGACGTGAGCCACCACCATACCTGCACTCTGACATTAAAAACATTTCCTGAGGGTTTGGCATGGGCTGTTCCCTCTGCCTGGAACATTGTTCCCCAATCTGTCCACCTGGTGACCCCCTACACATCCTTCAGGACCCAGCATAAGCTCTGTTTTCTTTCTTCTTTCTTTTTTCTTTTTTTTGATACGGAGTCTCACTTTGTCGCCCAGGCTGGAGTGCAGTGGTGCAATCTTGGCTCACTGCAACCTCCTCCTCCCAGGTTCAACCAGTTCTCCTGCCTCAGCCTCCTGAGTAGCTGGGATTACAGGTGCGTGCCACCACGTCCGGCTACTTTTTTGTATTTTTAGTAGAGACAGGG